TATACTACAACTTTAATTAAGAGTATAGGACAGGTTAAGGCAGTAAAAACTGCAGAATAGCTAAAAGTTATCAACTGAAGGTCAAAGGCTGTCAGTATAATTTTCTTGATGAGTTTGAAGTATAAAGACTTAATATTTGCAGACTATATGTAAAATGATGTGCTGAACAAGTTTACATAGAAGCCCAAGATAGGTTTCCTTAGTAAAATAAAAAGTTATAAGTGTTTTTTGACAGACGAATTTTTAGTTAATTTTTGTGCAATAGATTTGCAAAAAGAGTTTTTTGCTCTATAAATAGAATATTAATCTTTTATTAGATTTAGTTAATATATAGAGTATAAAGAATATATTGCATTTATGAAAGAAATTAATTGCACATATAAACAAAATGTTTATTATAAATAAAGAGCATTTTTGTTTTGAGAGAATAGAAGATAGTTCCCAAAAAATAATTATTGAATTTCTAATAATAAATTTTCTATTAATATAAATACCTAATCTATAATAAATATAAAAGTATTACCTTATACAAACTAATACTATTTTTAATCCTCTTTCTAACATAATTATTTATTTATAAATCACTAAACTTACCATTGATTACCTGCTATAAGCCATGTGACTAAGAACATTGTCAATGTTAGAGAAGAGTTTCAATCCTGATTAGACATAGAGTGATCTCATGTTGAGGTAAAACAAGATTAGTATAAGAATAAGTTGAAGAAAAAACTCAAAGAAGAGACCAGTACTTACCTACAGATAGAGGCCTGCATTGGGTCCCACAGCTCAGTCTGGCCTGGCCCATAAATTTTTGTGGGCTGGGCTGGGTCTGAAGCAAAATTTTATAATTGCGAGCTGGGTCAGGCTAAAAAATTTGCAAAATTTTATAATTGCAGGCCAGTGTAGGCCTAAAAATTTGTAAAATTATATAAGAAATTTTTGCGGGCTGGGCTAGGCTGAAGAAAAAATTTGACATATGTGGGCCAGGCCAGCAAAAAAATGATAACCCTAAATGCGGGCCAGGCCAGGTCTAAAAAAAAATTTTTAACACTAATTGTGGGCCAGGCTGGGCCTTAAAAATAGGCAATTTGCAGGCCCCTATCTACAGATAAACTATCTGCCAAATTTAATATTTAGTTATAAGAATTAGAAGAGAATAGTGACAGACTTGCCAAATTCTAAAGACAATATTAAATTTTACAGTATCTAATAGATTTTTACTATTATAGCTGTTCTTATAAATTTTGGATAACTGATAAAAAATTAACTGATACAGAACTTGAATCTGGTTATTTGCTAAATACTATTTAATAATAAATCTGTTAGTTATCTGTAAAAATAGATAACAGGTTCAAGCTTTAGACTCATGATTATTTAGTTTAAATTTGATAAGTTTTTAAATTTAACAAGTTTTTAAATTTAACATTACTGTAGCATTATTGCAATACTGATTGCACTAACAGTAAAGATGGGCAAATTACAGTTTTTCAAAAAATTCTGTACAAAATTAATTAAATCTAGATCCCACTTAGTTGAACCTTAATTTTGATTTTCTAATATCTGTGATTAACAAAATTTTGGCTGCATATATATAATTTTAAACAGAATTTAATTTTTTAATTATTTAAGGTTTGGATCTATGTAATAATATAATTAATCCAAGAACATATTTTACTTAGAGTTGAAAATTATATTTTACAAATTTACAATACATGTAATTTTGCAGTTTTTTTAAAAATCCTGCATGGGATTTATTAAACTACAAAACTTTAAATCTTAATAGGTAGCAATGATTTCTTTACTAAAAATTTGAGTAATTGTGCCTAAATTTTTTATTGTTGATATTGGTCAATCAAAATAGTGAATTTTTATATATTTTTTGCAAAGTTTAATAGCAGTAATTACATTAAACATGTTCTTAGTTAAAAGTTTCATTTAATTTAATTTTTGTAAGATGATTTTAAATATTATTATTACTACATATGTAATTTATTTTTTAAAGAGCAATTTAATTATAAAGAATATTTTTGTAATATAAGCAAAAAATACCAACAGCAAAGAAAATTCTTATTATATATATAAATAAACATATATGAGAAATAGTATGTAAATAAATAAATATTAACTAACTGATATAAGAGTATTGTAGCAGTTTTTTGTCTTAAATCAATCACAGAATATAAATTCTAATTGAATGATTTTAGTAAGATTAAGTAAGGTAGTTATTATGAAATTATACAGTGATTGTATTTGATAACCTATCAGTAGGGTTATATAACTATGTAATAATTGTAATTAACAATTGATTAGAGTTTTAGTAGAGTTTATTGTAGTTTATTATAGTATTAATGTAATTATGTTAAGTTTAGTATAATAATGATGTAATTAATCTGAGTATATTGGTAGAGTTTATTATATTATTGATAAAATTATATCATTAGAACTTAGTATAATACTGATATAATTATATAGTATATTAATTTGAAATTGATAGATCATATTTAAGAAATCAGGTTGGCTTTTAGATATGATAACTTTTGTTTTTTCTGCTAACTTGACTTTGTTTAGTTTTTTTATAAAACTTCTATAACATTAAGCATTATTTTTGTTTTTATTATATAATAAAAAATTTTTTTATTTTTATATGTTGTATTATTACTTTAGTTTTATGAACAGAAAATAAGCAATTCTTTATTCTATATTACTAGTTTTCCAATCAATCACTATGCAAATAGAAAATAATTATTTTAGTCTTTCAGAAATAATAAGATAATGGCAACTAGTAACAAGGATTCAAAAACTGTTGATGCATTAAATAATCCTTTATCTTCAAATACAGCACAAATAAGCTTGGAATCAAATCTAAATTATTTGTTATTGAAAACATTAAAATTTATTTGTCATAGAATGGGCTTATTGAAAACAGGCCAGAAACAAGAAATTGTATTCAGAGTATTAAAAGAAAAAAGAAGACAAACAAGTCTAAAAGTGTTAATAAATAAAATTAAACTATTTGGTAAAATTAGAAACTTATAACTGCAGTATGTTAAAGGCCAGAACAATACTTTGTTATAAGATCTTGAAGGGTTGCAGTGTTTAGATAACAGAACACAACATACAGTGATCAAAGAAGAAAAAGAAGCAGATGCTTACACAAAGTACAGCATAGCAGGTCAGAGGCTAATGCTTGGTTTTATGTAGAAGAAGAAAACTCTATGTTATAAGATAGGAATAGGCCTTTTAATTCTGGAGGATATTGAACAAAGGAGTGTTTAGACAAAACATAAGTTAAAAAAAGTAAAGGCTTTGATGAATAGAAAACTAGTCACTAAGAACATAACTTATATATACTCAGCAAGTCAAGTTGCTTTAAAAAAGGCTTATGTTATAAGGGTAGTTAATAAGAATGACTGAGAAGTAGCATTAAAGATGGCAATAGTAGATAGCTTGAACATAATGATAAAGTTGTTAGAGAGTAAGCAAAAAAGTGCCAAAATAGCAGTACAGTATTTTTTGAGAACCAAGAAAGTAAATCATCCAATTACTTTTATTTTAGCCAATACCAGCTACTAGCAGCAATGTTTCAGACAAACAGTATTTTTATAACCCAGATTGTACAAATGCAGCTCTACTTTCAATTGCTAAGTATATATTAACAACTCTTAGCAAGCTTATAAAACTAGTTCAGAGTTTATGTTTCAGTTTCTTAGCAAACTCTTTAGGCACACACTTAATTTATACAACTAAGAGGTTTCCAACTAGCACTAGAAGTCATTCTTCTATCTCAACAGCAACCCTTTTGTCTAACCATACAATGGTCCAAAAAATCTAAAAAAAATAAAGGTTTTAGAAAAGATAAACTAATTTGTTACCTATATGAAAGAAAAAAACATTTTATAAATGAATATAGTTTCAAAAAGCATATTAGATTGCCTTTTTGAGAGGATGCTGTATATTTGAAAGAGAGTTGACTATGCTTAGAAGTAAAAAGAGGTTCACAAATACAAACTGAATTGTATATAATAGACAAAATTTACAGTTTAGAAGCAGTAACTTATTGGAAAAAGAAAATAAAACTATTCAAATTAGTTATAAAATAGTTGAAAAAAGAGATTCTATTATTTCCAAGAAATCTAATATAGTTAGTTAGTAAACCAGACTCAAGACCATACAGATTTACAAAGAAAAAGAGGCTTTGGCTAAAGAGTAAGTTATAAGATTGAAAAATTCAGATGTAATAATAAAAATAGAAGAGAGAATATATGTTTACAAAATCTTTTAGAGGTGAATTATATTTTTCTGATTTCAAAACAAGATCTTAAGAAATTTTGTTTGATAATAAATTTAAGAAGACTAAATCAGCTATTGCCTTTAAAATTATTTTAGTTTAAAGTATTAAAAGGGTTGTTACAGATGATCAGCCAGAAGTAGTAATCAATTTTATTCAATCTCAAGAAGAGATATCATCATGTTATAATAAACAATGAGACCCAGAGGTGGCTTGGTTTTGTAATAGTAATGAACTAGTACCATTACAAAGTATTATTGTTTGGTTTAAGCCAAGTCCCTTGGGTTTTTTCCAATCTAATAAGGGTTTTAATTGGCAAGTGATAAGCTCAAAGAATCTACTGTAGATGCCACCTAGATGACATTTGGGTGGCATATATGAGCCAGAATATTTTAATAAAAATGAGAAAGAAGGTTGTAAAAATCAACCTAAAAGGGTGTAGATGGATTCGAGCAAAAGAGAAGAGAAGTTAAAATCTAATCAAAGAGTTAAGGTTTTATAGAATAATAGTAGATTTAGTAAAAAGAATTATGATAATACCAGAAAAAAAGATAATATCAGCTATGTTAAAGTTAAGGCTCTATTAGGGAGCCAACTGTGACAGCAAGAGATCTTGTATCTGTGGCAAGAAAGATAATAAGTTTATCAAGAACTTTTCTTTTGAATTAGGTAAAGTATATAGAATCTACAAGTCATAGATACCAGAAACTGTACAATATGAGAATAGGACAACAGAATCTATTTGTTAAAACAGGCAGTTAAGAATATCTATTGGTTAATAGAAAATTTAAGAAAATGAAATGTTGGCCTGCTTGAAAACCTTCTTAGATAAAATTAGTATATGTTAATATCTCAACAATCAGTTAATGTGAAGTTTCCAAAAGTACAGAGAAGTAGAAGAATAGTTACAGTTTTATGAATCAAGTATGATAGAACAATTAGAGGTTTTAGTAGTATTACAGTTTTTGCAATCATTCAAGAGTCTGTTAAAGAGTTCATTGATCATTTTGTTTATAAACAACAAAATAACTCTAAAGACAATAATGAAAAGAGATTCAACAGAATAGCAAAAAGATATTATAAGACAAATTTGAGAGGTCTGTAAGATGTATGATATTGGAATTTTTAGTACATGATGGATTTTAAACAGGATAAATTTAGCAGTTTTTTTAACAAAGGTAGTAAACTCATAAAATTGGATGCTAGATTTGAAAGTAGTAAAACAGCTGAAGAAGACATGAAGAAAGTTAGAGGTTGACAAATTTACAAGTCACTTCAATATAAAGACCAAAAGACTTAACAATCTTTATTTCTACTCAAATGCAAAGGTCATAAACTGTTTTACACAAAATTGGACTATAGTGAGGAATTATATATGCTTATCTTTTAGTCAAATTTATGAGACATTATGCTATATATAAGTATGCAAAACATGAGTAGTAGTAATAATTCTTGTATACGTCTCAGCTCTGTAGTGACCTATAATTATAACTTTAGCCAAGAAGAAGATCAATCTTTCAGTATCAGATTTAATTATTTAGTCAAAACTATTAGACATAAAGAAACCATGCAAGAACAACTAATAGTATTTAAAAGCAGTGCTCTAGATTGGTCAGAGAATTTCTTAGAAGAACAAATATCTAATAGATAAATTGATTAGTAGGGTTTATAGAAAACATTTAGAGAAGACATGAATTGTGTTTGAGAAATTTTTAAGTTAAATGGGTTTTACATCTTAGCTAGTCTCAATAGAATCATTATTAGTCTTTATTATATAGTTAGAGTTATTGAGTAGAATAACAAAAATTTTAGTTTGTCTATTAGAGTAGCAAGAGAATATAAGTTAAGGAATCTTAATAATCTAACCAAAAGAAATACAATTTAGTTAGTAATAGTAGGGGTCAAAAGGTCTATATCACAAAAGAAAGAAGTAGTTAAATAGTTAAGAAATCTACTACTAGTAGCAATAATTAGGCAATATATTGAAAATTTACATACAAGAATTAGTATACAAGTATTAACATAAGATATAGTATTAGTGACCTTAGGGTTGAAATTAATGTGAAAACTAGAAAGTTATATAATCTGAAAAGATCAGACATTGTCAAAAAGGATAATAAGTTATAAATTAAAGTTGTAAGATCAAAGATAGATCAGTTAGAATAGGACAAATTCATCCTAATAAAAAAAACAGCTAGTGAAGTTTATCTAGTTAGATTATTGTATATGTATTTAAGAATAAGACTAAGAATGGTATTAAAGAACCCATTGTTTCTATAAAAAATAAAAAAAAACTATTTTTAAAAACAATTTCAGTAATAGTCAAGCAATTTGCAAAAAATGCAGAATTGTAAAAATGATATTCAACACATAACTTAAAAATTAGAGGTGTAACAGTAACTATGAAAGGAGGCATAATAATGGAACAGATTTAGTTAATTAGAAAATAGTTATCAGAAACTATACAACTATATATAAGAGTAATTATTATGGTGAAATTGAAAACCTTATGTTTAATAAGTTTTTTTTTTTAAAAAAAAAGAAGAGAGAAAGAATGTGTATAGTAATAGATCTCAAGTTTAAATTACAAGTGAAATTTTTATAACAATACTCTACAATGACCCATAATTATTTTTTGAAATCTTTTAGAACACCTTTTTAATAAAGAATAAAATTAGCTACTCAATACAAAAATATTAGAGTAGTTTTTTGTTTCAAATCAAACATAGAATATAAATTTTAATCAAATGATTTTAGTAAGATCAGGTAAGATAATTATTATAAAATTATGCAATAATTGTATTTGTTGATCTATCAGTAGGGTTACGTAACTATGCAATAATTGTAATTGACAATTAATTAGAGTATCAGTAGAGTTTATTGTAGTTTATTATAGTATTAATGTAATTACATTGAGTTTAGTGTAATACTAATATAATTTATTTGAATGTATTGATAGAATTTATTATAGTATTGATAAAATTACATTGTTAGTACTTAGTATAGTACTGATGTAATTATGTAGTATGTTGATTTGAAATTGATGGATTGTATTTAAGAGATCGGGTTTGCTTCAAGATATAATAACTTTGTTTTTTCTGCTAACCCAACTTTGTCTGGTTTTTTTGTCCCACTCTTACCCACCCTTGTGTATGTCTAACCAAATGTTATTGTGAGAAATTCTTTGAATCTTAACAAAGCTTGATCTGTCAAACAATAGGCAAAGTTTTAGCATTAGTTAGGTGTCCTGTTAAGATGACAGTCACAAGAAAGCATCATAGCTTTATATGTATGTTAATCAGTAGATTTGGTCTGTTGAGATGACAGTCAAATCTTGAATTCAGTGTTTAGTAAGTGGCCTGTCAGGACAATAATCACAAAGAAAAGGAATTAATCTTTACGTAACTGCAAGTATTATGCTCAGGTAGGTATGATCTAATGAGTAAAGCATAATATTCATCTGCACATTATCGATGCTTTTAAATTCTGCGTTATATTTGGACGTTGACACAAAGTAGGAGAGACAGAATACCCATAATTATTTTTCATAGTCTTTTAGAACACTTCCTCGATGAGGGACAAAAAATTTTAATTAGGAATTAGCTAAATACTATATGTTAATGTAGGTCAGATATTATATTAATGCTAGCCAGATATTATGGTAATGCCGGCCGAATAATCTTATTTCGGGATCATATTAAAAATCCCGCGCGGGATCCAAAAAAATCCCGCACGTGCCCACCTCTAACCGACAGTATTCAATGGATACGGATAAAAGATCTACTCCTAAAATGATTTTATTCCAATTGATTTTCGTGCCGGAATTTACCAGAATCTTACAAACCCTTATTATTGATTTCCAGAGGGAAGTTTGACTTAGAGGTTGGAACCGGTTTTAATAATTTGGGCTTAT